CTTGTAATAGCTTCATGTAAAAGGCAAAGTCCTTATTGGGTTTGTATGTAGGAGACCAAACTCCTAATGGGTTTCGGAATTAACACATGGCCCATTCCACCATAATGGGTTTGTCCGAATAAGCCCACACTATAAAATGAGCAAAATGTGAGTAATCTTCAAGCTTGATACTTTAGTCTTTAGCCCTCTTAATTATTCATCAGCTCATGCCACTCGACTTGTATCTATAAAGATGTTATATGTTGAAAATACTTGGTTTTGCCGTGAGATAGGCTGGAGTGGAGTTGATTTGGTCGATCCTTGGTAAATAGTCCTTGTTAATCCTTTAAGTCTAAGTAGTCGAGGTCTTCATGAATTTCTTCATCCTTGGTTCCCAAAACGTTTTCTTGCTCTATTTGGTCTATATCGCTTATGTAGCTTGTTAAGGCAACATCTTGTAGTTTCGATGTGTTTTCTATGGTACTTTTGATGTTTTGAGCTATTTGACTTGTGTTCTTTGATGTGAGAGACTTATTTGATGATCAAACTAGTGAAAACCGTTACCAGGTCCTCACTGGATTCACTTGAGCTAGTTTCATAGTCAATTTGTGGTATGCTTGTGTTGCTCAGCTTTTGATTCACTATCCTTCCTCTATTGAATTTATAATGCTCTTCACTACTAGAATAAATCATTCCTTTAGTATCTTGGTCATAGAACGTGTCACTAGAGCATCTTTGACGTAAGGTACAATGCTTTGATCTTGGTTTTGGTTTGACGATCTCATTATTCTCTCCCTCGATTGAAGTTTTTTTTCCTCAAAATTGGGTCGTATGCATCAAAATGAGCCAAATAAGTAACATTAAAACTATGTGAAGTGTTCTTTGACTAATCGACCGACCTCTCTTTCTTCAAGATTACGCATACTTTTTATTGGGAGGTCACTCTTCATGTTGTCACTTCGTTGAATCGTTGGTGTAGTTCTCGGATGGCGGCATGTAAGAACTGATATGTACCACTTCATCAC